ATCCCAAGATTCCCTCTGATTATAGACCTACTGCTTTGACTGTAAAGTTTTGGAAAGGATGGTTAATGCTCTTGTTTGGTTTATTGAATAAAAGAATCTCCTCTCACTCAACCAGTGTGGTTTTTGCAGGCAGTGCTACCTCATGAACCATCAGATTCGACTTGAAACGTTGATCAAAGAAGCCTTCCTCAGGTTGGAGAATCTTGTTTTAACCTTCTTTGATCAAGAGAAGGATTATGATACTATGTGGAGGCTTGACATCTTGCAGAACTTCCATTCTTATGGGTAGCATGGCCATATACCCATTTTATATGTAACCTTTTAGCTGACAGATCATTCTGTATCAGTTTGAGATCAGCCTTGTCTCAGTCTTTCACACAGAAACTTTGAGTCCCTCATGGATGTGTCTTGACTGTTACACTATTTAGCATCAAGATAAATTCTTTCATTGAACAATTTTTTTCCTACAATCGCAAACAATCTCTATGTTAGTGACTTTCAGATTCCCTCTCATTTGTTGTATATGAGGTTTATTGAGCTACAGCTTCAGTTTGCCCTCACTTGTCTGTCGGAGTAAACTACAGCAAATGGTTTCCCGTTCTCTTAATATAAATTTCTTGTGTGCATTTTTGCCACTAGTAGGGATTGCACTTGGAAGGTGCCGTAATTTTCGTTGTGTCTGAGACTAAGTGTGTGGGATTTCTAGTTGATAACCTAAAACTCTTTATAACAATTTTATATCACGAATTACTTTTAATTGTAGTGTGTACAAGGTAATTCCACTGGGTTATCGTAACTTGGATCACATGTTTAATGGTATAAATGGTAAGTCAATCAATAGTGCAATGATGGTGGATAAGTCACTGAAGCTACCAAGACAGTGCTCTGTTGACAGTAGTAAAGCTAATAGAAGTTTAGGGTGTATTTATAGATAAAACGATTACAAGTCAAACGATGCAATTATCTTTATACAAATAATTAATTAGACCTTACTTAGAATAATGTACACAGTTTTTACTTCGTTATGTAAGAAATGATATTGACTTATTGGAAAAGGTCCAGAGGGAGACTATTAAGATTATTCTGAGATGAAAGTACTAGTTTATAAGGGATAGGTTAAGATCTCTTAACTTATTTTCTCTTGAGCGAGGTGATGTTATTGAAGTTTATAAGATTATTGATTGTATCGATAAGATAAAAGCCTCTGATTTCTTTGTGCTGTGTTCTAAAAATAATAGGATGAGATGATAAAAGTTTAAGATTTGGAAAAGATGGATTAAACTCCGGTTACATAAGTTGTGTTTTTCTAACATAGTGATTTGCTTATGGAATGAGTTGCTTTCAGCGATAGTGGAGGCCAATACTTTACAGAAGTTTTCGAGAGGAATCGACGATCTCCTGAAAATGAAGGGTAATTTAATTTTTTACTTTTTTCCATAATGAGTGTGCAGGAATATCCTTTAAGGACCAAATGACTCCGTGTTGTACTCATGCCATGTGATGTTTTGTTATGATATTTCACCACATTTAATGGAAGTCCTTGAAATCAGGAATTCTTTAGCAAATATACATTTGTGAAATTGTCACATTTTAACTTTTAAAATGCTGTTGAAAAGTGCCAACCTCTTCAAGACTAGACAATCCTTCTGGATATGAAAATAAAAAACACGTGTTATTTGTGTTTTTATTGTCTGATAATAGGAAAGGCATAAGAGATAAAAGGTGTGGCGTAAATATTGGCGTAACAACAAGAAAAAAGTTATCTTGATTTTGCCGTTATTTATTATTCTTATTCAATGCAATTGAAATTGTATTCATTAAATATCATGCTTGCGTTAATTATTTAGCCAATTTATTTTATACGAAGTTAATTATGGGATGCTTGCTTTACATAAAATGCTAAGCCTTGTTTTCATTTTGCCAGCAGAAAGACCAAACAGGTACATGTCCACCCTCACCAACGAGAGTGTGAATAGCGCCTAGTTAGATGAAATTGAGACCAAGCCAAAGTACATTTATTTACATAAAAATCAAAATTACAAACATACAAAATACACGATACAATAGCACAAAACAAAAAATAACAAAGCAACATATTGCATAGAGCACTATACAATGTTGCACTTCATACAATAATAGTGTAACATTACATAATTGGAGTTAACAGCATGAACTGAATAATCATGTGTAATGTATGGAAAAACAGAATTAGAAGGTAAAGTAAAATACAATAGGATGGTTATCACAACTGCTACTAAGACTTACACCACACAGAATATAGAATCAGGTGTCCATAAGGAGTCCTAGTTCGTCACCTGGTCATCACTGGGTAATCTGAAAAGAAACCCAGAAAAGACAAAATGCCCTAACGTGATTCATGTTCTGTCTTTATGGCTTCTATGATATTAAAGGGTGATGTGTATTTCTCCTAGGATGTGGATGTAGTGACAAGGTTCGCAAGTTGAGTTGATAGAGACTACAGTTTGATTATTTCTTGTATAATGTCGCTACAAGATCAATAAGTTTTTCTCTGATTGGCTGTATCTTACTGACTTTGTGGTGATAAATGCCTGGGTGGAGGAGGTGGGGTCGGGAGTCGGCTTTACGTTGTTGTGGTTGTATTGTGATGTTGGATGTTATCATACTGTTATATTTGATCATGGGTCTGATAAAGACTTTATACATTGGACAATGCACTCTTTGGCACAGCTTCAGATCTTGTGTAGATAATTTGTGTTTTGATGCACTTTCTTAAGCGTTTCAAAAAATGAGTGTTCTATGTTATTTTTATTTTTGTGTTGAAATGTATACCTAGGAATTTATGGATTTTGACAACTGGATTTGCGTGTGGTACAGTTTGAGTTAACTTAATTTACCTTATTAATGTTTCTCTTTTAAAAATTATGGAATATTATTGCTGCACCTTTATGAGATTTAAAATTACTTGTCACGTATTACACCATGTTCTCCACTGGCACAACAGTAATATTGAAGGCTTATAACACTAAAAACCGGGTTTCAATACCAGTAGTTGGCACAGCACAGATAACCCACTGTGTATTTTTGTGCTTATTTACAAACTAACAAACAAATTACACCATGCTGTAACATGGTCTAGGGATTTTTGGACTTTTGGTGCTGACAGACGGGGATCAAGTGATGTTTTCCTTAATAGAGATTGTGTATAACAATTGACTTACTGTTGAGACCTGCTTGTAGTGAGAAAACTGTGGAGGCTAGATTTAGCAGTCCTGTTAAGAAATAAGAGGCAAATCCAATGAATTAACAGAATTGAAATGTTATGTTTGATAGCTTGTGTCAACCAAATCAAATGCTTTTCTAACGTTTCAAAAGACTATGACAGACACATGGTTGCAGTTAAACCAAGTAGATTGATTGGTTGGCTGTCTGGTGATGTTTCCATGATGTATTCTGAATTTTTATTAATAGGTGTTTAGTTATAAGATGGGATAGTTGTCTTGCTGATAGATAGTTGTTCTAGTAATTTGCTTATACAGTTAAGGAGACTAAATGACCAGTAATTGCCTGGATTACATAGTTCATTACTTTTCTTTGAGATAATGCTAATAAAGGCAGTTTTCCATGTTGTTGGGTAATATCCCGATTTTGAAATTAAATTAAACAGTACACTAAGGTGTGAAGTAAGAAGTGGCTATTGTTCA